AGGGCTACAGAGAAGCCCTGTCTGGAAACAAAGAAGGAAAAAGAAAAGAGCGGTGAAATGGGTGCACGTCAACATGCTTGGCACAAAGCCTGATGCCGTGAGCGTTACGTCTTCCTGTGCTCTCCTGTGTCGCAGATGGCTCGTCACACACGGCTGTGCTTCCTCAGTCCTACCAGCCCACCTGCAGGCACTAAATACAGTCTCGACATCTGCAGGGCAGATACTAATATAAGTTTCAGTTTCTCTCCCTTTTTTCAGTTGTACATCCCTGTATGTGTGCTAAAATAAAATATAACACCAGAGACTCCCCTATACAGTTTTTTAAAAATTTACTCATTTTATGTGTACTGGTATTTTGCCTACATGCATGTTCATGTAACGGTGCTGGATCCCTGAAACCAGAGTTAAAGACAGTTGTGGGCTTCCATGTGGTTGCTGGGAACTGAATCCTAGTCCTCTGGAAGAGCAGCCAGTGCTCTTAACTTCTGAGCCATCCCTTCAGGCCCCCTGTATATTTATTGATCTATCCACCCATATCTTCTTTCCTGTTGTGAGCACACACATGGGAGAGGGAAGGCATGCATGTATAGGTATGACTGGATACCTGTTGTGAGCACACACAAAGAGGGAAGGTATGCATGTACAGGTATGGCTGGATACCTGTTGTGAGCACACACGGGAGAGGAAAGGTATGCATGTATAGGTATGGTTGGATACTTTTCTGGACAATAAACAACAGAAGGAAAGAATCTCAAGCCAGATGTAGCAGCACACGCCTTTAATCCCGGTACTCGGCGGATATAGGCAGGAGGATCTGTGACTTCAAGGCTAGCTTATATATATATATATATATATATGGAACTCAAGGTCAGCCAGGGCTGTATAATAATACCCTGTCTCAAAAAAAAATCAAAGATTCATTGTGACTCATCAGAATGATATGCACTAGTGGAGAGCCCTACATTTGGGCAATAGAGAAACTCGGCATAATTACCTAAGCAAATCAGAGAAAAGAGGCAGAGGCCAAATTAAGAAGTGAAATTTCTTTGTGTGTGGTGTCTTTTGCCTAAATGTATGTCTGTGTATCACAAGAGTATCTATTGCCTGAGGAGGTGGTGAGACTCCATATGGTGCTAGAAATCGAACTCTGGTCTTCTGCAAGAACAAGTGTCATAACCACTGAACCCAAGAAGTGAAATTTCTAGCTATAAAATCCCTTCTCTTCAAGGTGGGTCTGGAGGCACATGCACAGGATTCTAGCACTCATGAAGTAAGGTGGTAGAAATGGAAGTTCAAAGGCAGCCGAGGCTTAAAAACAAAACAAAACACATGCTGTCAAGATGGATCTCAGGTAATGGTGTCTGCTGCCAATCATGACAGTTTAACCTCCTGTAACCTATATGGTGGAAAGAAGGCAGACAATACAGGATAAACATAATGCAGCAAAAATGTTTTTAAAAAATGTGTATGACATAAAATTAAAAGTAAAATTAGGCAAAGAGACAGAAGGGGGGCAAGAAAAGAGTAGGGGAGTAAGGGAAGGAACTATATTCAACATGCAATACATGTTTATCTGAAAACTGAACAAAAAATGGTCAAAACAAATAAGCAAACATTCCTTTCCCTCCCGATCTGTTTGGGTTTTCATGTTCATTTCCCCAAGACTCACCTGAATCAAAGCAATGAGAGGAGAGACTACAATAGTGATTCCTTTGGCCAATAGGGCAGGGAGCTGATAGCACAGAGATTTCCCTGCCCCCGTGGGCATGCACACAAAAACATCCTTGTCACCTGCAAGAGACAAGACATCTCAATATATCCTGTCTGATTTTACATGAAGGCTCTTGAAGAAGTAATTTTTATAAAGAAGGGGTGTTCACTAACTCACTATCAAATGGCTACTGGTGGGGGAGGGGAAGGACTCATTTTTCTTTTCTTTTCTTTTGAGACAGGGTTTCTCGTGTAATAGCCCTAGCTGTCCTGGAACTAGCTCTTGTAGACCAGGCTGGCCTCGAACTCACAGAGATTCACCTGCCTCTGCCTCCCAAGTGCTGGAATTAAAGGCATGCGCCACCACCACCTGGTGTAGGAATTTTTTGGGGGGGTGGGGACACTCATTTTTCTCTAAGGGCTAGCCACTAGGAGTTTGACAATGCTCCGGTCACTATGTGGACAACACAATTGGATTTTCTTTAATCTTTTGGGGGGAGGCCACAAAGGTGGGGGGCAGACCTGGGAGGACTGGGAAGTAAGGGTGACTGGGTGCATTTTGTGAAATTACCAAATAATCAATCAAAATATTAAAATTTTTTTAAAAAAAGATGTTCACTATGTAACCATGGCTAGATTGGAACCTGCTATGTGAACTGAGCTGGCTTTGAACCTGCTGATCCTCCTGACCCTGCCTCCCAAATGCTGGGATTACAGGCCTGTATGGCTAAGCCTGGTCCTGGTAGCTATAAATCAAATGAAAGTGTAGGAAAACCATTGAGCTGAGTCTACACATGGGTGTGTCTCAGTATTCCCTTCTCCACCCTTTCTATGTGAAGGGCAAGGACCTTGAAAGACGTAGACTTTCGAACAAACTACTTCCAGCAATGGAGCTGTGATGGCTAAAGAAACTCCATTTTGTGCTAGGCGTCCGTCTTGGTACTTAACAGCTGTTTGTCTCTGATTCAGATTCCTGCAAGATAAGTTCCCAGCAACCCTGACTCCTTGACTCCCACTCAGAAATGTACAGTCCTGAGCATCTGTTTGTTATGGCCAACTGCTTATTTGGCTTCTGGAACTTGTTTACACAGATATTCGAGGACTATTTTGAGGTTACTTTGACCATCTAATCTTGGCAGAGCAGAACAGCTCTTGTTAATTGTGCCTTTAAAAGCCCTTCCTTCTCCCACCTCTAGGTGGCACAACTGATTCGGGTTAGAGGCTGTGGTCCTGCTAGCTTTAATAAATCTGGCAAAATACGATCTAAATTGAGTCTGAGAGTTTTGTCTTAGTGGTCTTGAACTCTATAACAGTACTAAAAAATGGCCTACAAAGTGAATTCCAGTACAGCCAAGGCTACACAGGGAAATCCTGTCTAAAAAAAAAAAAGAATAAAAAAAAAGAAAGAAAAGAAAAAAAGAAAGCATGCATTCAAAGAGGTATAGGAAAACAGATCTCTGGGAATCTGAAGGCAGCCTGGTCTACACAGTTAATTCTAAGCCGGCTATGCAGTGAGACCCTATTTCCAAAAAAAAAAAAAAAAAAAAAGACAAGAATGAGAAGAAAAACAAGGATTAAGTAATCTTCAGTTGCTGGGATATGAGTGTTTGGACTAAACAGCCAGGGAAGCAGAATATTGGGCACACCTGAGGAGACATGCAAGGCTATTTGTTACTCAGAAGTCTGTTTATAAATATATCCTTGCTAGTTGGTGGTGGCGCACGCCTTTAATCCCAGCATTCGGCAGAGGCAGGTGAGTTCAACCTGGTCTACAGAGTGAGTTCCAGGACAACCGGAACACAAAGAAACCTTGTATCAAAAAACAAAAATAACAGCAAAAATATCCTTACTATGACACTGCTGCTCACACCTGAACAATCCCAGGCCCCCTATCTCTAATTTACAGTATTATCATTCTCTCCTCTAGCTGGAACTCAAGCTACTCAATCTTCAGTGAGAGAATTACATGGTGCAACGACAAGATTAGGCATTACTGCTACCCTTGCTACCCTGCACACAAACAAGATTGGGCGTCTAGGATCAGACTACAAAGACAATCTATAGGTCTGGCTACAAAAAAAAACCAAAAATCACACAACAACAACAACAAAACAGAACAAGTGTCGGTGGTTCTCTCATTAAAACTCCAAGTCTATAGCCAGTCACAGTGGCCCACACATGCAATCTCAGCACTTAATTCAGAGGCAGAAAGATGGGCTTAAATTTGAGGCCAGTCAGGGCTACACAGATTGTCAATAAGGAAAGTAAGAAATAAACAGAAACCTATCACCAATAAGCACCCCCTAACTTTGGCTGTGAAAGATTTCCAAACCAGTATCGGACCCAGAGTGAGGCGGGTGGGAAGAGGCAAGGGAGGGTGTTGTGTTACAGTACTACCACGGTACAGCCAGGAGTCTGCAAAACAGGATGTTACCTTTCACTACAGCCATGGTCGCACTCTCCTGTAAAGGCGTTTTAAAAGAATCAAATCCAAAGACTTTCTTCAGAGTGGTCCGGACTCGCCGCTCCCGGTCGGGGGGAGTGGAGGAAGGGTGGGCGCTCATCTTAGCAAAAGGCAGCAGCCAAGAGGTTAAGGTAAGGGTGGTCAAAGTCTGTTATGAAAATGCTCCGTCCCACTTTAAAATACAGGCGATGTTTCTTCTGCCATTACAACCTGCTATGTTACACTTAAACATATCATTCTCATGCAATAAAACTGAAGGTTGAATTGCTTCACGCAATACATTCCTGGGGGGTTAACATGACTTCTCCCTTTATAAATAAAAACAAAAACAAGCCAAAACAAACAAACAAAAAAAAAACACTGAACTATTCCAGGCCAGTTGAACAGATATAGAAACTGGACCACAACAAAAGTCCATAAACGTCTTCAAAATCGCCAGGAGAACTTGGAATTCTTTTTCTAGGGTCCTTGTTCTAGAAGCAAAGTCATAGCAACCATTCATTCCTCCAGGAGACCGACCCTCGCTCCCACCTTCTTCTACCTCTGATCCCCCAAGTCAACAGCTTTCGCCCTTCACCAGTCGAATGCGCCCCAAACATCAGAGCCCAGGCTCTTTCTGGCTGGCTCTGCAGTTTTTCAATGAACACTCCACACTAACTCAGAAAACAACCAGCTCCAGGTGAAGTAAAAGCCGCAAAACCTTACTTCCGTCCCGTGCTGATGACGTTTCCAAGCACACGTCGAAGGGGCGGGGCCCACCCAAGCATGGCCGTTTTGATTGGTTTTCGTTCTGGCGCGGCGTCTCCTGGGGTCCGGAAGAAGTTGGTTTTCCCGCACGTCAATCGGCGATGTGAGTCATCAGCGTGAGCCACTCCGACCTGTGGGAATAAGATGGCGGGGAAGAAGAACGTTTTGTCGTCTCTTGCGGTTTATGCGGAGGATTCAGAGCCTGAATCTGATGGCGAGGCTGGAGTCGACGCTGTGGGTGGCGCAGCTGGTGAGGCTTGAGCTGGCGTGGGGTTCGGAGTCTGTTACGGTTAAAAATGCTTCTTCTCCAGCGGGGTTTGAGGGGGAAGAGATGCTCATTGTGCTCCAGGTATCGGGTCCTGGAACCCCAGAGCGCAGCCGATGACCTCGGGCAGGCGGAGCGTTAGGACCTCTAATGCGAATGTGCTTCCTTTTGCCAACCTCTGCCAGGCATCGTGCCAACCGGAGGAAGGTTCAAGGGTGCCGCATCGCGGTTCAGTCTCACTCTCGTTGTTTGATGAGGAGAGAGAGTAATGCCGTGCACCTGGAGGATGAGAAAACTTGTTTCTCGTTAAACTGGTGACTTTTGTTTAGGACTAGACTCCAATGAGTCGTCTTAGGGCTTTTAAAAGTACGTGTCTCGCCGGGCGGTGGTGGCGCACACCTTTAACCCCAGCACTCGGGAGGCAGAGGCAGGCGGATCTCTGAGAGTTCGAGGCCAGCCTGGTCTACAGGAGCTAGTTCCAGGACAGACTCCAAAGCTACACGGAGAAACCCTGTCTCGGAAAACCAAAAAAGTACATGTCTCCAAAGTGCATAATTCTGTAGCTCTAAGATAGAATGTGCTGGACATTCCTGAGCCTTTTAAGGCTACTGGGTGATTCTTTTACTTTGAGTTTTTAAAACCCATCAGTAATCCCTTTGCCCTCTGACTGGAAATCATAATGGGAACAGAATTCTTTTTTTATAGATTCATTTATTTATTATGTATACAGTGTTCTGCCTACATGCATGCCTGCCGGCCAGAAGAAGGCACCAGATCTCATTACAGATGGTTGTGAGCCACCATGTGGTTGCTGGGAATTGAACTGAAGACCTTTAGATGAGCAGGAGGTGCTCTTAACCACTAAGCCATCTCTCCAACCCAAGAACAGAATTCTTTTTGTTGTTGTGTGGTTTTTGAGACAGGGTTTCTCTGTGTAACCCTTGCTGCCCTGGAACTCTCTCTGTAGACCAGGCTGTTTTCAAACTCACAGAGATCCGCCTGCCTCTGCCTCCTGAGTGCTGGGATTAAAATCGTGTGCTACCACTGATGGTCTCAACACCCCTATTCATCATTTGGTCTTCCTAAATGCAGACTCTAATCTGGGCCTGTGGTCACTTACCTGAGACCTAGGTTCCCTTTTTATCTTCAGAAGTAATCTTGGCCACTCAATTTTCAGAAATCTGTTTGTGAACCCCACCTCATCATCCTCTCCCTCTCCTCTTTCAGAAGAGAAAGGTGGCTTGGTATCTGATGCCTACGGAGAAGATGACTTCTCTCGACTCGGGGGTGATGAAGATGGCTATGAAGAAGAGGAGGATGAGAACAGCAAGCAATCGGTGGGTAAATCTTCAGATCCAGGGCTGTTTAAAACAGTGTTTCATCCATTCCATGGTTAACTCTGTCCCTTTTTCGCCATTGTTTGGAATCAGCTGGGTAATGTTGCTCATGCGAGAATACTTTGCCTGAGCGTGTCCAGAGCTTGATCCCCAGCACCACAAAAGGAAGAAAAAAGTTGAATTGGTGAAATAATAGTTCTCTTTGAAAGTTAAGTTGGTTTTTTTATCTGGACCGTATTGTAGTAACTTTGGCGCTGAAATTTGGGAATGGAGGGGGTTTAGTTTGGTTTGAGACAGAGTCTCATGAAGCCCAAGCTGAGCACAAACTTGCTATGTAACCTTGAGCTCCAGACCCCCTTGCCTCAGCCTCCTGAGAGCTGGGGTTCTAAGCATGAACCATTGTTCCTAGCTTGGTTACTTTCTGTGACCTAAGTATCAATGGGTGTTTGATATTGGCTTGTGAGTTTAACTGGTCTTCCTACTTGTATAAGTATGTACATCCTTAGTAGTGGATCGTTTTCATGTCTATAAGCAACCTTATACTATTTTTAATCTTGCTTGGAGCTTGTTCAAATGCTTTACTCTCTGAGGAGGCAAGGAAGGGGAGTTATTTTGTTACCATATATTTTGATTCTTTTGTTATATTTTACTTGGTGTTTTTGTCAGCGTGGCCCTGGTTCTTGATCACAAACCTTCCTTGAAGTTAAGTAGGTGCAGGTAAGACTAGAAGGAGGATTTGCCTTCTCATTATCAAGAAAGGCTTAAGGGCACACGACCACCGACCACCCAAGTAGTACAGATCAGGATTTTAAAGTTTGGAAGGGGAAAAGCAAGGAAATTCAGGCTGTTGCTTATCGCAAGAAGACATCTGAAAAGAATTTGGGTATTGAATCTGGCCGCTTAGAAGCTATGTTCATTGAAATGCTCATGACATCTTTATTTTTTGTTTGAATTTGTTGTTATGTTAGTATGTAAATGTTACCATTAAAATGCTTTTTGACTAATTATAGTGGTCCATGCCAGCAATTCTAGCAGTCAGAGTGCTAAAGCAGGCAGAGGGAAGATTCCAGAGCAGATTCCTGTCTCAAGAAAAAATACGTAAAAAAATAAAGATGAAGACTGGGGGTGTAGCTCAGTGGTGCAGCTATAGCACCCGCCTAGCATTCCCAGGACCCTGGGTTGCTCTCTGGCACCACATAAAAATAAAAGCAAATAAAACATTTCACAGGGGGGCTGGAGAGACAGCTCAGAGGTTAAGAGCACTGACTGCTCTTCCAGAGGTTCTGAGTTCAATTCCCAGCAACCACATGGTGGCTCACAAGCATCCATAGTGAGATCTGGTGTTCTCTTCTGTCATATAAGCAGAACAGTGTGTACATAGTAAAGAAATATTTTAAAAAATTCACAGAGGGCTGGAGAGATGGCTCTTCCAAAGGTCCTGAGTTCAATTCCCAGCAACCACATGGTGGCTCACAACCATCTGTAATGGGGTCTGGTGCCCTCTTCTGGCCTGCAGGCATACACACAGACAGAATATTGTAAACATAATAAATAAATATTTAAAAACATTTCACAGAATGTATTTTTTATTTTGTGAGAATTTTTTCATGTCCTTAGCCCCACCCATTAGTGATAATTCAGAGTTGAATAAAGTTTCTTAGAAAACTTGTGGACTAAGGAAATCTCTCATTGGTGGTGTTTGTGTGCATGGATGGAACCATGGGGTTGTTCCTCAGCATCAACTACATCTACTGGCCGTGGTGGCTCTTGGCCTGTAATCCTAGCACTCGGGAGGTAAGGGATGAAGATGAAAAAAAAATTCATGGTCATCCTTATCGAGGAGGTAGAAGGCAGTAGGCAGGCTGGCAAGTTTTGTTACATTCTTTGGCTTTTCTTAAATATATGCGTGCTGCCTCAACACCCAAAACTGTTCTCTTTAATGCATTTCTTTGCATGTGTTTTTTTTAATGTTTTTCTTTATTATTTATTATGTATACAATATTCTGCCTTCATGTGCACCTGCAGGCCAGAAGAGGGCAACAGATCTCATTACAGATGGTTGTGAGCCACCATGTGATTGCTGGGAATTGAGCTCAGGACCATCAGAAGAACAGTCAGTACTCTTAACCTCTGAGCCGTCTCTCCAGCCCCCTGCATGTGTGTTTTTAAAATATTGACCCTAATTTACTTTTTGTCATATTCAAGCTATGTGTGGTATTTTAGTTTAAAAAAAGAAAAAAACAACTCACCAAATCCCAGCAGGGACAATGAGAGCTATGTTAGCATTTTGCCAGGTTCTATCTTTGATTCTTTAGTTGATTGACTCATCCTAAGGAAGTTGTGTAGATGCATTAAGAGCCTCTGATTCACTGGCACCACCAAGGGCACCACCCCAGTGCAGTTTGTTCACACTGGGTGCTGTTGTATTAGCATCCTGGGTGTGGTGTCTTGTTTAGGTTAAAATGTAGTAGCTGGTTCCACATCTCCTTGGCTTTTGACCTTAGTTGCATTTGTGTTCGGTGGAATTGTAGGCTTACTTTGGAGAATTCAGTGCCCCCATGGTTTTGACTCAGACCTCATTTGGGTAAGGAAGAAGACTGAAAACTGGATCGAGACAGTAATGTCACTGTACAGTAATGTGAGCACCCCAAAAGGCTGCCTTGCCCTTTAGTCTCCGGTCTCTGGGGTCACGTGGTCTGGTGATTTGCTGCCGCCTTCCCATAGCTGTGTTAGTGTCACTGTCACTGGCTTGCGGAGCTGCTGCCACAGCACCTAGGTGTTAAGCGGGGTGATGGCCGTCTAAGTAACTGTGGGGTGAATGTCAGAGAAGGGGTAAGAGTTCATAATCCTGGCTCTAGTGATTGCGGTCTGACAGTTTGGAACATGATTTTCTTCAGGAATTTTCACGGATGTGGACAGTGACACGCTAATTTGAGCTACTGACCCCCCTCCCAGCTTGTCTCCTTTTCCCTTCTCTTTCTCTAGTGCTGGGTTGTGTGGTAGGGAAGGGTTCTTGGTGGGATGACCCCAGCTGGGTAGACAGGCTGTTTGCTCCAACCGCTGGTTATGTGTGTAAGAGTCCCCAGGCCCACTCCTTTTAAGTTTAATCCTGTAAATTCTTTGTCTTGTAGGAAGATGACGATTCAGAGACTGAAAAACCTGAGGCTGATGACCCAAAGGTATTTGGTATTGGCTGTGGCGGGGTGGCTGGATTCGATCAAGGCTTTTATCATACTGACCCACTTCATATGTCGGGTCAGGTTCTGTCCCACTAGCCCACAGAATGTGGGTATTGTCTAGGATAAAGCCAGCTGAATGAAGAACCTTAAGGCCACTAGGAATTCTTGAAGTGAGTTGGGCTTCTTGCCCTGATTTTGTGAGACTCGAGATTAGAAACACAAGAGGCCTGTCTGGATCCTGTAACCCATGCACACTCTGCAACTAGTGTGGGCTGTGAGGTCAGTGAGGGAGTGTTTCTAGAGTCAAGGCGTAGGGCTCCCTTGTCTTTTGTGGTACCTCTCAGAGGGCTCTGAGAGGGTGGAATCAACCTGAGGCCTTGCCAGAGTTGTTGAGTCCGGCCCTTATCTTCCCAGGGATGTGCCCTTCTACTCTCGGACAAACATCAGAATGGTCTTTTTGAAAGCATCCCTGTTCCTTCTCATAGGTCTGTCCAGTAGCGGTTGAGAGTAATTAACAGTGGTTGGTTCTTGTCACAGTCCTTAGCGAGCCTGTGGTAATGAAGACCCAGCTGTTTGCTGTGCATTGGGCATTGGAAATGTACTTTTTGCAGAATCAAAAGAATAATCCCATGTTTCACAGTTGCAAACTGCCCTGAGACCAGCCAAGACCTTCAAGATGGCGTTGTGAGATTTAGGAAGTGTGCCTGGTTGTGACATAAAGCAGTAGTCTCTCATCTGTGGGTGTCAGGGTTCCAGAACACCTCACCTTCATACCCTATAGATACCCAAATCCATAGCTTCTCACAGATTTTATTGAAAGTGGTATGTTTGCATATAATTTATGTGAATCCTGCTGGTCTCAGAGCATCTAAATCTACTTGCGCTACCTGGTACAGTGTAAATCATTGTTCAAAAAATGATAAAAATATACTCTCATTCAACACAAATGCAATTTTGCTGGACGGTGGTGGCGCACGCCTTTAATCCCAGCACTCAGGAGGCAGAGGCAGGCGGATCTCTGTGAGTTTGAGGCTAGCCTGGTCTATAAGAGCTAGCTCCAGGACAGGCTCCAAAAGCTACAGAGAAACCCTATCTTGGGAGGAATCAACTCAAGAGTTGCTTGAATTCATAGATGTGAAACCTGTATATATGAAGGGCCAATAGTATCTGAAAAGATAGCTTGAGCCATTCCATAGTGGGATGGATTCTGCCTTTGGATACGGCTGCATAACCATTGGCAGAGTCTGCAGAGGACTTAGATAACGTATCTTACCAAGGAAGCAAGTTTGGGCACCAGCATGCAAGAGTAGGCAGTGTGGACCCAGAAACTAGGTGCAAACTACTTTTCTCTGCAGAGTAAAAACTCAGGCAGGAGGCTATGGGGCAGACTGTGGCTCAAGACCGAAGGCCACCTGGAGAAGTTGGCATGCACTTGTCACCCCTGTGATCCCACCAGCAAACCCTTGCGGAAAGATTTGTGAGAGAGGGACCCCAGTGAAACTCGAAAGACTGCTTTCTGTAAGAGCAGTTCATAAAGAACAGGACACAGACACACACGGAGAAAGAGAAACTTGGGAAGATTGTGTGTCTTCCCCTTTCTCATTCCCACATCAAAGTTGGAAAAACTTCTAATGTAGTCTTTGTTCTTAGCTGGACCTGGTGGCTCATTCTTACAACCCTAGCACTTGGAAGGTTGAATTGAGAAGACGGGGGAGTTTGAGGCCAGCCTGGGCTACAGAGATGATGCCTGGGCCAGCCTGGGCTACAGGGTAAGATCCTGTCTCAAACAAAATAACAGCACTGAGGAGGTATAGGCAGGTGGGTCTCTTTGAGTTGAAGGTCAGCCCGACCTATATAGTGAGACCCACAAAGGAAAAGCTGTAGACTCATTCTTTGACAATATTGTATGCTGGGGCCAGAGAGGTGGCTCAGTGGTTAATCCAGAGGTCCTGATTTCAATTCCCAGCACCCATATGGTAGCTCACAACCATCTTTAACTAATCCCATGGGATACAATGCCCTCTTCTGATGGGCAGACAAAACATATGTATACATAAATAAATAAATCTTTTAAGTAAATAAGTAAAGTGGGTCTTCCCCCCTTCAAATGCCAATACTGCATCCCATTCAATCATTTGAATTTCAAATCTTGCTGTGGAGTGAGTTTTCATGGAAACATCAGTGGGTGTGATGCAGAACACAGGATTCAGCCGCAGAGCAACTCGATTCAGTTCTTTGGAGAGTAACCATGGATAGCTCATCAGAGAGAGCCAATCAACTCGGGGTGTCCTGCCCTCTCCAGTGGCTATCAGAGGCCCCCCCTTCAGGTGTCATCCTCAAAGAACAGAAACTGTCTGTACCCTGTGACTTCACAGTATTCCTGCCCCTGCTGTCGTCCCGCTTGGGCTGACGTCAGACTGTCTTCAGGCAGAGCTCTTTTTTGATACATCTCAGGTTTATTGTGTTTAGACTTATTTATATTTTACACACACACGCACACACACACACACACACACACACACACACGATCTCTATGGGTGGGTGCCCACTGATGCCGGAAGAGGTGTCTAGTTCTGGAGCTGGAGTTACAGTTGGCTGTGAGCTGTCGTGCAGATACTGAGAATTGAACTCCAGTCATCTGCAAAAACAAGTTCTTTTTAACCTCTGAGCCATCTTTCCCATTCTGTTGGATTTGTTTTTATTAAAATTTACATGAGAGAGTTTGTTGTTCTAAGCTTTTGATTTGAAGAATTCTCACAGAAGGACCTGCTGCTGGGGCGGATCTTTAGTTGTGTCTTGTTTAGCTGATGAGTTGCTGTCGTGGTTTCTATCCACTAGATGGCGCTCTCCTTTGCACTTTTAGCTTATTCTGTGGGGCTCTCAGCACATTTTGGCTTTAGGACACAAATGAAAATGCAGGCTCCAGCGAACTTCTGCTCATTGTCTATATTGATATCTCAGAAGTTCCAAGTGAGGCCAGGCGGCGGTGGTGCACACCTTTAACCCCAGCTCTCAGGAGGCAAAGGCAGGTGGATCCTTGTGAGTTCTGGTCTAGAGTTCCAGAACAGGCTCCAAAGCTACAGAGTAACCCTGTCTCAAAAACCCAAAAGGAAAAAAAGAAAACCAATCTTCCAGCTGAGATGCAGTCTCTCGCATCTGTGACCCCAGCACTGGGGCAGGATGGAGACAGCAGCCGTAGGGCCTTTTGGCCAATCAGTCTAGGCAGCTGGTGGGCTCCAGGTTCAGTGAAGGGCCTCATCTCGGAAAGTAAGGTGGAGGACTGTGGAGGAGACACTAGGCTGCTACCTCTGACCTCTGCTTGGGCAGAGCAGGTGGTCGTGTTTGCTGTGTGAAAGTTGGGAGGAAAGGGCAGCGGCAGCCAGGTGTGAACCTGAACCAGCACAAAGCAACATGGACGAGACTTGCCATCCCATAGTCAAGAGCTCTCTGTTGTCTCTGGCCAAAGCGCTGCACTTCAGGGGCACCTGATGGCTCCAGTGTGTCCTCTCTCCGTTTGCTCTCGGTACATGAGTGCCCCCCCCCCGTGCCGCTCTTCTGTCCAGCTTTGCTCCGTTGCTCTGGAGCATTTCCCCGTGTTGATGTTCCCCTCCTCTCCTGCTCCTGTGGATAGAGGTATTTCCACTCGCTGTCCCTGGCACGCCCTTCCGTTGAAAACAAACAGGGATAGATAGCCTGAAATGAGAAAGATGAGGCGGCCTGCTGCCAGCTTTCGGGGAGGGCCTGCGTTTGCTAGCTCCCTGAGGTCTTTGGTCTAGGCTCTGTGCTAGGGAAAGAATCCTGGCCTTTGTAGGAGCTACCACGGAGTAGGAGAAATTTTTGTGGCATTTTTGGAAGAGGTGTGTATGATCCCAGCTAAATCAAAAGAAAATATTCTTAAAATGCTGAGAGCCAAGCTGGGCGTGGTGGCTAACTTTGAAGGCTAAGACTGGAGAGTCCCAAATTTAAGGCCAAATTAGTCAAACTTTGCCTAAAAAAAAAAAAAAAAAAGATTCGGCAGGACATGATGGCACACACGTTAGTTAGTTCCTGCAGAGGCTGGGGGATCTTTTAATTGCAGGCCAGTGGGAACTCCACTGTCAGACCCTGTCAGACGACTAAAATTAACAAGATTGACAGGGGAGTAGGTAACAGTCTTGTAACTAGATGGCACGGACGCATCCTGTAGGTCGTGGTTTTCGGGTCACTGACCATGGGCCTAGTTTTGTCCGCATAGCTCCTAGGGTAAAGAAGTGCCGTGTGGTTCCTGTCTGAAGGAATTAGCTGCGATATCAAACACTACTGTTCTCACAGTACAGTTGCTACTTGTGTACTTGGAAAGCACACGTGTGTGTGAGGTATCTGGGAGATGTCAAGTGCTTCCCGTGTGAGCTCTAGGTGTCCTGTGGCCGTTCTGTGTGCTCCGATACACAGGCTGGAAACTGCACTGGGAGATAGTATTCATGCTGGACTGAGGGTGAGTCCCTCCGGAGGCCCAGCTCAGCCGTGTGAATGGTTCTCTGCCTCCACCCCAAAGTGGTCTGAGGCTCCCTGTAGATAGACTTGTACTGGGCAGACCTCCCTCAGTAATTCTTCATTCTTCCTCCTTTCCCACGTCAGTGCTAATAAGTAATGTTACTTCAAGTTATATTTTTAAATATAATTGTGGGGTGGGTATATGACATCACAGACAGTTGTGAGCTGCCTGGCTTGGGTGCTGGAGCTCAAACTCTGGTCCTTTGAGAGTAGTACTTGCTCTTAACCGCCGAGCCCTCTCTCCTGCCGCTCACTGTTGGTCTTTTGAGGTGTCTGAATGAACGACCTACAAAGTGAAAGCTGCCTAAGGAGCTCATTTCCCAGGAATATATTGTTGACAACCTTGGGAAGAGCAAGGAAGCGCCGGCATCACTCTGGGACAGCAGCGCAGACAAAATCTGTATTCTCTGTCAACCACACCGGCAGAGACTGCAGTCTGTTGGCTTGTGCAGGCTCTATGCAGAGCT